GCCGGACGGTGAGAAACGGCGGAGAACATGGGGGCGGCCCGGGAGAGACTCAGTGGGAGGCAAAACGGATTCCTCGCCCTCACCTAGGGAGGTGTCGGCGCGGGGGGGGCCCGCCGCGAACCATACAAACCTCAGTGATTTCAGCTCTTTTAGTATTTGTCCAGCAGGTTTCCCGCCGAGCGGGAAGCCTCACCCACCGGTGCAATGGCAGGAGAGGGCGGGGCTGCGCACGCGCACCACGCCTCAGCGGGTTGTGAGGGGAGAGGGGCAGAGGACCTGCCGCCCCGCCGGGCGCGATGGCGGCGTCCGCCCAGGCCCCGGCGGCGGCGCTGAGCGCGGAGCAGGCTAAGGGTGAGCGCGGCGGGGGGGTGTCCCGGTGGCGGTAGGGCGACCCCGGCGGCGGGGCGAGCCGTCTAGCCGTGCCGCCTTGTCTCCCCGCAGCCGTGCTGGCCGAGGTGATCAAGGCCTTCGGGGCACCCGAGAACGCGCAGCGCATGGAGGAGGCGCGGGACAACGCCTGCAACGACATGGGCAAGATGCTGCAGTTCCTCCTGCCCGTGGCCACCCAGATCCAGCAGGACGTGATCAAGGCCTACGGCTTCAGCAACGACGGGGAAGGTGGGGTTGTTGGCCTTCCCTTCCTACCCTACTCCTCCGTCGCTGCCGGATGGGGAGATGCAGGTCTGCCGAAGGGGGGGCGGCGGCAGGCCGGGTTGCCCCCCCTCCCTGGCTTCCTTCCCAGCCGGTGTCTTTGCAGGGGTCCTGAAGTTCGCCCGGTTGATCAAGTCCTACGAGTCGCAGGACCCAGAGATCGCCAGCATGTCGGGCAAGCTGAAGGCCATGTTCCTGCCGCCTATGACGCTGCCGCCGCACGGAGCCGGGACCGCCGGGGTGGCGACCTCCTGAGCCCCGTGGGCCTCCCCTTGCCCCGGTGGCGGGGGGTGTGTGTGTCCCGTCCACCCCCCCGGGAGCTCCCCCAGGGAGGGGAGCGCCTGGAGAAGGGGGGAGGCTGCCCTGAAGGGCACGGACCGCTTTGTGCGTGCTTGTGCGTGTCTGCTCCTGAATAAAAAACATGGTTTGAAAACGCCCTTGTCTGATGGATGAGCATGAGCGCAGCTGCTCCTCGGTTATAGCAGTTTTCACAGTTACAGCAGTGCCTGGTGAAACCTTGTGCTTGTGTTTTGAGGGGGCCCAGTGCTCCCGAGTTCTGCAAAAAAAAAGGTAATTGCTTATACAAGCCTTGGTGTGAAGCCCTAGGACTTTAGATATCAAAGTGACTTATATATTTATATTTTTTTTTAGCATTTCAGATGTCCTTAGCCCTTAAAGCAGGCATTTACAAGAGCGCTATTTGAAACATACTAGGTAGTGTGCTGTTTGAAACATACTGAGACTCCCTAAGCACCATCTAGGGCTGTTCAGCAAGCACCCTAAATGCTACTGAGGTCCGTGTCCCCAGCAAGGGTGGGTTTGGCCGACGCTCCTGCCACCGCTGGCTGTGGCCAGGTTATTTTTGGGCTGAACGTGCCACTGAACATGCCACCAAACGTGTCAACCCCAACAGCAGAGAGACGCAGCAGGGAGCGCTGCGGTGTGGGGAGGGCTTGGTGAGAAGAACCTAGTGTAAAACCATATCTTGTGTCTTCTGGGACTGGTTGGAGAGAGACAAACCCAGGGGAGCAGCCTTGCTCCTGTGGAAGGTTTTGTGTCTCTTGGCTCGATTCAAACCAAGGGGCTTCAGTTACGCCCACTGCAGGCTCCTGGCCGGTGTGCCTGTCACCCTTGGAAAGCGTTGAGGTCTTTGGGGAGGGTGATGGCCACCAGGGTGGGAGTGAAGAAGCCGGGCTATTTAGTGAGAGCAGGGAGCTGCCAGCCAGGTGCGACAGGCACGCGTCCGGTTTCTCCGCCTGTGCCTTTGGGTTACAAACCGGGCAGGAATGCAGCCAGTGAGGGCGTGAGCTTAGTGGATAGGAGGCAGGAAGAGTGGTCAGTCCCTTCCGTCTCCAACTCACCTCTCCGGGCTTGGCCTTGGCCTTCCTCTCCTCCCCCCCCTCAATTATTCATTAACTACAGCCCGGGAAGTGCTTTGCAAATGGTGGGAATTAAGCCCTCTGCCTGAGGCCTGCGGTTTGCCTGGCCCCGGAGCTATCTCCTTCTCAGTCGGCAGAGGAACGGGGCAGAGTTTGACGCAGGTGAGTCACGGGAGGTGCCACAGCCCCACGGGCTGCCAGACGCTCGACCGTCACCAGCATCCAGCCCTGACAGGAGGGTGACAGCCCACCTCTGTCAAGGTCTTCGATCTCTCTCCCGAATCCGTCTGGATAATTTCAACGTTGCTTTATTTTCTTTAGTAGGACCTCCTGGTTTAAGGGCTGTGGTGCTTCCTCCGCCAGCTGCTGCCAGCCCCCGATCGGTGGGGATCTGAGAGTCAAGACCCTGATGCCATCCTGTGGGTGAGTGCTGTGAATGCCAGTTAGGGGAAGAAAACAAGAGTTCTTGGTGAGAGAAATAAAAACACTGGCAGGAGGAATCGGGCGCAGAAGGGAAAAAAAACCCCACCTTCTAGTAAGAGGCACGGGATAGCCAGAGGGCTGGAGTTCATGGTGGTTTAGATGGTTATTGCTGTTACTGTTGTTCCTTCTCGCTTCCATAAAGAGCAAGCAGGATGTGTGATGCCTGATCCAGCACAGTTTTTGTACAGAGAGAGAGGTCATCAGGTGGCTGACCCTTTTTCATCCTCGTTATTTCTTGATTTGCTACAGCCTTTATAGCCCTTTGTGGAACAGTAGGACACAAAATCTTCACGCTCAGTCCAAACGGGTGCTCAGCTCTGGGGACTGCAGTGGTGTGGTGGAGGGAAATGGGATTTGTACTAGCATTACTCTGTGGTAAGGATCTGGGCAACCACGATGGTCCAGCACCATCCTGGGGTCCCATGGCTTGACAGATAGCATCTGGCTTGGGCAAGTCTCAGGAAGATGGTCCATCTGCCCATTCCCCAACAAGCCCAGGTGGCCTTCACTCTGCACTAGCAACTGAACCACAATGCAGTTCTAGGCAGAACGGCAAAGCCTCCTGTCTAAAGTCATCTCACTGCTGAGAATTAGAAGTGACAAATGCGATGCAGATTCTCTTTTTGAGATCCCCTGAATGTGAGGGAAGCACAGAAAAATAAGTTAGGATCTGGGCAAGAGGGTGGGCAGTATAACGGAGGAAACAATGAGTGAAATATTAAAGACTCAGCATTTGCTTTTGTAAATGCAAATCCTGTCTTGTAAAAACAAAGGGGTTCTTGTTCCTCCACTCTTCCTTTGACAACCATTTTGACCTCTGGATCACCTAGTCCAACCGCCTGCTCACAACAGAGCTTACCCCAAAGCTAGGTCAGGATGCTCTGGGCCTTGTTCACCTGAGTCCTGAACATAGAATCATCTAGCTTGGAAGGGACCTTAAAGTCCCTAGTCCCTCTAGTCCAACTATCAACCTAACTCTGACTAAAAAATAAATAAGAAATAAGAAATAAAAATCACTAAACCATATTCCTGAGGATCATGTCAACCCATCTTTTGAACACCTCCAGGGATGGTGCCTCAACCACTTCCCTGGGCAGCCTATTCCAATGCTGGATAACCCTTTCAGTGAAGAAACGTTTCCTAATATCCAATCTAAACCTCCCCTGGCACAACTTGAGGCCATTTCCCCTTGTCCTATCTCCTGTGACTTGGGAGAAGAGACGATCCCCCACCTCTCTACACCCCCCCTTCAGGTAGTTATAGAGCGCGATAAGGTCTCCCCTCAGCTTCCTCTTCCCCAGACTGAACAACCCCAGCTCCCTCAGCCTCTCCTTGTAAGACTTGTGCTCCAGACCCATCACCAGCTTTGTTGCCCTTCTCTGGACCTGCTCCAGCACTTCAATGTCTTTTTTGTGGTAAGGGGCCCAAAACTGGACACAGTACTCGAGGTGAGGCCTCACCAGTGCTGAGTACAGGGGGATGATCACCTCTCGGGTTCTACTCACCACGCTGTTCCTGATACAGGCCAGGATGCTGTTGGCCTTCTTGGCCACGTGGGCACACTGCTGGCTCATGCTCTGCCGACAGCGACCAACAGTCCCAGGTCCTTTTCTGCTCGGCAGCTCTCCAGCCACTCTGCCCCCAGCCTGTAGCGCTGCCGGGGGTTGTTGTGACCCAAGTGCAGGACCCGGCATTGAAATTCATCATGTTGGTCTCAGCTCATCGATCCAGCCTGTCCAGATCCCTCTGCAGAGCCTCTCTATCCTCCAGCAGATCAACATTGCCACCCAGCTTGGTGTTGTCTGCCAACTTACTGAGGGTGCACCTGATCCCCTTGTCCAGATCATTGATAAAGATGTTAAAGAGAACAGGTCCCAGTACCGAGCCCCGTGGGACACCACTCGTGACTGGACGCCAGCTGGATTTAACTCCATTCACCACCACTCTCTGGGCCCGGCCCTCCAGCCAGTTTTTAACCCAGTGGAGAGTATTCCCATCTAAGCCATGGGCAGCCAGTTTCTCCGGGAGGATACTGTGGGAGACTGTGTCAAAGGCCTTGCTAAAGTCCAGGTAAACAACATCCGCAGCCTTTCCTTCATCCAGCAAGCGGGTCACTGTGTCATAGAAGGAGATCAGGTTTGTCAAGCAGGACCTGCCCCTCACAAACCCGTGCTGGCTGGGCCTGATCACCTGGGTGTCCTTCACATGCTGCATAATGGCACTCAGGATGATCTGTTCCATCACCTTCCCAGGCACCGAGGTCAGACTGACAGGCCTGTAGTTCCCCGGATCATCCTTCTGACCCTTCTTGTGGATGGGTGTCACATCTCCAAGGGTAGAGAATCTTCAGCCTCCCTGGGCACCTCTGGCAGTTGTTGTACTGCCCTTGGCGGGGAGTGAGTGTGCAGTTTTTCCTGATACTTAATCAGAATTTCCCTCGCTGCAAGTTATGCCTGTTGCCTCTTGTCCATTTGCTCTGTCCCACAAAGAAGAATGTGGCCCTAAAACCCTCAGTCCCCTTCCAGGTAGTCTCGGACAGATGTTAAATCCCTCCTTAAACATCTTTTCTCTAAGCTGGACAAAACCAGCTTCCTCTGTCTCTGCTGTGCTCCAGGCTCCTCACCACCTTAGTGGCCTTTTGCTGGATTCTGTCCAGGTTCTCGGTGTCTCTTTTACCGTAGTCCAGATGTGGGTGCCTTTCAATTAGCTATTTCATTTATCTTCGCCTCTAAATTTGTTCTGTGCTAGCTGTGGCTTGGATCCACAAAGGATTTACAAGATGAGGTTCTTGCCATCTGTGTTGTACTGAAAGCCAAACAACAGCGTAAGAGTAGTCTCTTTGCTGAAATCTCTTGACCTGTTAATTACATTAAGAAAGTATTTTAGCGGCTCAATTACAGTCCGCTGTTTCACGCTGCAGCCATTTGGGAGACCAACCTCAAAGATACCAACCAATAGTTTCTCTACTGTGGTGTTTCCCTCCCTTGCCAGCAGGAGCTCCTCACTGGTAGTTTTTAATTAGGTGGCCCAGATCAAAAAACGCCAAGGCAGCTGTGTCCATCCAGTCCTTTTCCCGAGCTGAAAGCAACCACAAGTATAAATTCATTCTGTAAATTATGTGACTGGGGACCTGTATCCACACAAACACTGACATGTGGGTTACACTGCACCCCGTGGTTTGTCCTGCTGGAGGAGACGGGATTACATGAGTTCAGTGCTAACTCACCCTTTCTATTCTCATCTGAACTCTTTCCTATCTTGTTTTTTCCTCGTTCCCCAGCGTCCCACTAATGTTGTTCTTCCTCAGACAGATTTGCTGCTTCAGCCAGTTCATAAGGTGTAGGGTTTTATTTTTGTCTGCTGTGGCTTCATATCAACCCTACATAATCTCATATTCTTTCGATATCAGGAGTCTTCTTTCTGGGACTTCTGCCTAGAAGTTCCTGTCACTTCTCTCCTAGATATATTTCTTTCCTGTGTCAGTGCTGGACTGGCTCTGATTTAGGTACAGATTTTTAAGTACAGTCTTTTAGGTGCAAATTCTACAATTTTGTGTAGAAGTTGTTCCCAT